GCGATCCGATCCGAACTCCTCATCTTATCTTCTGAAGCTTGTTTATGATTTAATTGGAGCGGAATTCTCATGTCCGACTCCATGTGTCACGCTGTTGCAGTGTGCGCCATTTCCGTGATCTGTACTGTGATTACGATCCCCTCTTCTCCCTGGATTCCAAACTGCTGCTGGTGAGTGTGGACGATCCCCATCTCTCCCTGGATTCCAATTGGTTGCTGGGGAGGAAGAAAGACCACCTCCTCTCCCAGACTGCTGATCTGCCACTTGGGAGAGAGATTGACTTCCTCTTCTCCCTGGAACTTCATCTGCCGCTGGGGACAGAGGTCAGTTACTTTTTCTCCCTGGAACGCTGATGCCAGCTCTTCAGCTGAGATCAGTAGTTCCTCTGCATCAGCCTGCCGTTGGGGAGAGGGGCCATCTGCCCCGGCTCCCTGGAACTCCAGAGGTGCATTTGTTGCTGGACAGAGGTCAGTAGCACTCTGCCCTGATGCCAGCTCTTCAGCTGGGACTAGTAGTTCCTCTGCATCGGCCTGCTGTTGGGGAGAGGGGCTGCCTGCCCGGGCTCCCTGGAGCTTCAGAGGTGTTGCCGGTGCTGGGCAGAGGTCAACAGTGCTCTGCCCTGATTCCAGCTCTTCTGCTGGGTCTAGTAGCTCCAAAACATCTGTGGTCGCTGGGGCATGCTGTTGAGCAATGTCGAACAGTCTTTTGTATGCCTGTTCCAGCTCCCATTCTTGTGTGACTAAAAAGTCCAAATCAGCCCTCAATCCGAGCTCATTGGGGAGTTCCAACTCCCTAAAATCATGTATGTCCTCCCACCTCCACTCCTGTGCACTCCCAAATTGTGGATCCTCCTGGAGCGCCTCAAATATAAGTCCCGGGCCGCCGAAGTCATAGCCCTCTGTGGGATCATTGTTCTCCAGCCATGGACACAATTGGGTGACATACCACTGCAGCGCCCGGTACCCGTCATCCAGCATCAGTTCTATTTGGAGCAGCCAATCCATCTCCGACAGCCATGCCTCCCGGGGCTGCTCTCCCAGGAAAGGCACACGCAAGTCCCATTGCAGCCAGTATCGTTCCTGGGATGTAGGGAGGACCTTGCCACAATAGTGCTGCTGCAGTTGAAGAGTCTCCCTCCAGATCTCCCGGCGTAAAGCATCTCTCCTTCCCAGCATATCCTGGGCAGAACCAGGATTGTCGAGCTGGGCCAGCGCTTCCATGGCCGTAGGCAACTGTGGCTCTTCTCCTATGTCCGCAGCAAACTTGGTCCCGGTGGTGGTTTGAATGTCTCCTTAGGCAAGGAAGAGCATCCCACCGCTTGCCACCAATGTGACGGACCCCCGTACTCAGGATGAGTATGTCCGCCGCTGTCTTCTTCCTTGCTGAGGAGATATTGAAACCTGAAGATCTGTAGCTCCCAGTTTCCCCAGTCACTAGCCAAGGCTTGAGTGTAGGGTAAACAAACTCTGCTTTATTGAACAACTGCACAAACTTTTATACAGAAAGTGATCAGATCAGAATATAATCCCATCACATCCACCTCCCCCTCCCAGACCATCGGTCTGTTCAACACCACAGGTGTCCACCTGCTAACGAGCTCCTGACAGCCATAGCAGGAGCCTGGCCAGAATGTCATTGTTCTGAGCTCCCTCAGAGTACAATGGGAGATAACGAGGGATGGTGCTGATAGTCTTTCCATAACCAGGTCACACAGCATAACGCACTCAAACATAACTCAACCCCAATACACATTTAACTTATAAACTGATCACAATGTCGTCACATGTACCGCATATTTTTTGTTCAGACGCGGGATCCCTGTGTACACCAGAGCGCGTATCCAGGCCTGGGATTTGGGCAGCTTGTTTTTGCGGAATTGGGCTTCTCTCTCGAGGTTCCACCCCCCCATCCACTGATGTCACATCCTTGCACTGGTAATGGCAATTATTTTCCCTCTCTTATGAGTACAAGCAGTTTACAGTGCAGACAAAAGGCTTCTGTCTGTCTGTGCAGCGGGCAGGTCTGCAACAAATGACTTGCAAGGTAATGATGGAGGATAAAGGATCTAGATGACAGCCCCGGAGCTGAGAGATATTGATAAGCAAATATGTCAGTAAAACACTTCCAGGTGTGTATTACCTCTCACAGAGATCACAGTACTCCCTTGTATAATGCCTTCCTCTTATTTTCTCTCCAGAAGTACGGAGCCATCTTTGTTCAGTCATCATCCATGGTCACCCTCTACTTCCTGGACTGAGATGCCAGCTCAGAGATGACACAATTTCTGCAGCCTGTGCAGTTCTTGGCTGTGTTTTACAAATGTCTGACACAGGTCAGCCCCTGCTGCAGCCTCTCGCCTTCTCTGAGGGAAAGTATAGACTGAGGAAATGCTTCCTCCTGCCCGCAGCAGACTGATGACATCCTGGCCTAGGCACAGTCACTGGCGGGAGCCCTTGGTTGGCCTTGATGACGAGGTGGCTCTTTTCTGTAAAGTGATACCGTTGCCGTATATATTTTCATGTGAGGAATTTTTTCAGGAATGTGTTTATATCGGCTGAGTGCTCCAGGTCACTGCGCTGTTATCAGCCTCACTAGTCCGTTTTAGCAATTATATTGCAGTTCATTTGTGGTTCTGTTGGACTGTTTTGTACAATTGCAGTTAGATCTTTAGGCCCGGTTCACACCTGGGCGTTTTGTAGCGCTTTCGAACGCTCTGCAAAACGCTCAAACACCGAAATCCCATAATTTCCTATGGGTATGGTTCACACCTGGGCGTATTACAGGCCGTATGAACGCGCTACAAAACGCCCTACGTCCAAAGAAGTACAGGAGCTTCTTTGGGGCATTTTTGTCGCGCGTTTCCATTGGGATACAGCCAAGTAGCCCTCGGAAACGCGCGTTTGTCGCGCTTTTTTTTTACCACGCGTCACACGCGCATATTCGATGTGCCTAGGTGTGAACCCAGCCTTAGTGCGCTAATCTGTAGCAACCTTTCGCTTCACTCTGCTGGACCAGGACAAGATGAATTCTGATTGGCTGCTCTGGGTTTCTACGCTGGAGAATTCTCTGTGCTGAGTAAGGCAATGTCTTTCCTCCTGCAGGAAATAGGACATTGTTGGCATGGATGGACACAGCCCCGTCCTCACACAAAAATGCTCAGACATATTGCGTGTTACATAACCGTCTGCCGGTGTCTGGGAGCCCTTAGTCCAAGGCCATGTTTAGTCCAACCATTGAAAAGGAAGGGGAGGGTTCACCTGGAAGTGGGGGGGATATATTACAATGGTACCTGGAAGTGAGGGGGGGGGGATATATTACAATGGCATTTGGAAGGGGGGGGGATATATTACAATGGCACCTGGAAGTGGGGGGATATATTAGGCAGCAAGTGAACATTTTGTCCCTGAAGTTGATGTGTTGGAAGCAGAAAACATGGACAGGTGGAAGGATTCCAGTGACTTTGACAAGGGCCAAATTGTGATGTATAGAGGACTGGGTCAGAGCAACTCCAAAACTGCAGCTCTTGTGGGATATTCCCGGTCTGCAGGGGTCAGGACCGACCAAAAGTGGTCCAAGGAAGAAAAAACAGTGAACTGGTGATAAGGTCATGGGTGGCAAAGGTTCATTGATGTAAATGGGGAGAGAAGGCTGGTATGTGTAGTCCGATCCTATAGAAGAGCTACTGGAGCTCAAATAGCTGAAAAGGTTCATGCTGGCTCCTATAGAAGAGTGTTTCTTAGCTGGGGGAGATGACAGGCTCTCGCACACTTTTCACCATATAGTGTATTTCTTTGGCAAAGGGGTGTTTTTATTTTTTTAACTCCATTGGGGCTGTTTTGCAAACAAATAACACTAACAGGGTTATTCACAAAAGGGTGAAGCGTTTGGAGAAGGCCGGAGAAGGGAACAATCTAGGACAACATAGCTGATTTGGAAAGATTCTCCAATTCAGCTCACTTCCCAGTTCAGCTATGTTGTCCTAGATTGTTCACTTCTCCCGACTTCCTCAAACCCTTCACCCATTAGTGAATCACCCTGTTAGCTTTCCTCAAACCATTAGTCAGCAATTTGGCTGCCATTTCTTCTCCCCTTAGCTACATTGCTGTGAGTTTCTGGTAGGTTGTCGGAACCTCTAATGTTCTCCTGTCCCTGCGGCAGCCTGACGTACAAGAATCGGTAAACAATTACTAGTGCCAAAGCTCCAAACAGTCCCGGGAGGCACCAGAAACACATCATCAGTTCTTTAGCTGGATCCAGGGAGAGAAGAGGCCATCTCATCATTACCGTGTCATCTCTGGCTGGGATAATGCGCCGCCTGATCATTTCCAAAATGCGTAATGTCTTGTTTCATAGCCTGCTCTAATGTGGAGAGTAAAGCTACTCATGAACCGTAATGCCGGTCTTAGACGCCTATGCTTGAAACTGACATTCTCTGTGGTCACAAATTCTGAAGAGTTTTTGTTATCTTACACCCCCATAGCCCCAAATATCCGAGAAAACGTCAGAGTCACAATCTTGCAGGGAATAAAAATGCTAACAGTCCCCGGAGTTGTAAATGTCAATCTCACCCTAATGTGACGATCCAGTTCTGGACTCCGGTGGGCTGAAGCCTATGTACAGACAACTTTTGTTTTCTAGTTCTGGAGGGTTTATATTTCTTTCAGGTTGCTATATTACTATAAGACTCCAGTAGTGGAATTTCCCACCGTTATTTGTGTCTTGTCCCCTCCCAATAACTGTAACAAGGGTGTCAGTCTCAGAAACAGGAGCTCATATATTTATTTCAAAATCCCCATCCAGGTAATGGGTGATACCATCATGTAGCTATCAGATGCAGCTGTGATACTGGGAGATATGAGTTGGTCTGGGGTGGGGTTGATGTTTCTAAAATGCTGTAAATGAGTAATGTCGGAGTGCCTCTGTGTGTTGGTGGCATTTTGTCTAATCAACAAGTGTTCTTCCAGTGAAATATGGTTTTCTTGTCTTCTGCTTGTTTCTAGGGCACAGTCTTCAGCCTGGACACTGAGGAAGACGATGTCCCTGGGCTGATAGTCGAGGACAGCAACGACATCTACATCCTTACCAGCGACAACTCTGAGCAGGTCAGCCCTCCCGAGAGCCTGGCCGTCTCCTCCTCCTGGCACACCGAGAGCCTTCCCACCTCCCTGGGGCCCGAGTCCTGGCAGCAGGTGGCTATGGATCCTGAGGAGCTAAAGAGCCTGGACAGCAACGGCGGGGCGGAGGAGCGCAGCGAGAACAACTCCTCAAACTCCGACATTGTTCACGTGGAGAAGGAGGAGATTGCGGAGGTCATCGAGGAGGCTGCCGTGGTGGAACAGAGACTGGAGCAACAAGCGGCAAAGGAGAGGGAAATACGTGAGGCCGCTCCACCTTTGACATCAGCTCCCGTGGCTGCGACCTTTCCAACCGAAGAAGAGGACATCCCTCCTCCTGTAATGCTGCCGGGACTCCCAAAAGTGGACATAACCATAAAGGGAGTTTCAGAAAAGGAGCCTCCAGCTGCTCTGGAGGAATCCAAAGAGGAGATCCAAGTCACCCCTCCATCGGAGGCGGAAAAAATCGAGGCTGCCATTTCCCCCCTTCTGCCTCCACGGAAGATGGAAGAAGAGAAAGTTATCCTTCCTGAGGGAAAATCCATCCTGCTGTATGGGGGAGCAGCAGCTGTCGCCATTTTGGCAGTCACCGTGTGTATGGTAGTGGCTCTGAGAAAGAAGTAGCCCGACCAGGTTAACGGCAGTTTGCTTCTCCCTCTAATAAAAGTCTGTGACCAGTGTCCCTTGTACGCCTATGATGCTCGTTACTCTGCCAGCACAAAGATAAAGAGCAAATCTCTTATACAGCGCGAGGCCCCTCTGAGTAACACAAGACCTCCCTGCTATCGGCGATAATCCCCCCCCCCCTTCACCACACAGGCTTGCCCATGGCTGCGAGAATCACTGCCAGACCTCTATAATATAATCTCAGCACTGTGGCACCCAAAAGAAAATGGCGTCACAGTGACTCAATGCTAAATCGCTAGCGGCCATCTTTAAATACCAAAAAAGAGTTGCAAAAAATGTATTTAATTGAAGATAAATCCCGGACCTGCGGCTTAGGTCCGATATCAGGTACAGAACGCCAGAGCCAGAGCTACGGAGGGGGGAGAGACAAAACACTATTTTTGTAAAATGTCCGTTTAATCCGAATGAAATAAAAATGTACTTTCTGTCTTCACAAGACTTGGCTGGTGAGGCCCTACCGGGAATCTACTTCCATGGCGAAAGGCGGGCGTTGTGCGAAGACGGTAAAATATATGGCGGCAAATTTTGTCACTATATAAGTAGCCATCGTTGGTGCACCAATATGCTAAATTTGAGGTGGAAGTCACCCCGTTTCCTTAAGGTCCCTAAGGCCTTGTTCACACCAAATGCAGAGCAGATCCGGTCAGGTTTCTGCACACGCACGCTAGTCTTTTAGATGCGTTTTTGACGCGTTTTTGGCTAAAAAAAAATAAACATAAATTACGTTTAAAATGGGCTTTCAGTGCGTTCCAGGCATTTGCATGCGTTTGCAGACCCAGAGCAGATCCAGGTAAAATAGGGCCTGCTGCAGTTTTTTCACCTGCTCTGGATCTGCATGCTGCGATGTGAACTGGAGCTAAAAATACCATAGGAATACATTGGACGCAGTTTTGTTCCGGTCTGTAACTGATCTGCTCTGCACCTGCTCTGCGCTTGGTGTGAACAAGGCCTAAGAGCGGTTTTCCCAAATGCGTTAGTGATTATAAAAAACAACAATATGAATTGTGACTTTTAGACCCAAAATAGTCCCGGAGTCTATAATCCATGCAATCCGCAGAAGAAACACCATTCCGGGGTTCTAAGACTTGTGTAAAAACATGGACAGGAAAAGGCGTCACTGCGAGGAAAATACAAAGAGCGATCAATGTTCCACTTGTTGATGAATATATGGGGTCCGTTGGGCATCCCGGTGGCATATACCATGTAGGTGACGGGGGTGTTTATTATTGATTTTATTCTTTGTTTTAATACAGAGCCAATACGTTCATGACGCATTTTCCTCTTCATATTTTGATGCAAGACGCAGCCGCCCCGGGTTGTGTTTTTTCTCCTTTGTCAGCGATGATTATAAGCGAGTAGAAGCGATATTTCTTTTTCCGCATCAAAGGGCTTTAACGGTGTCAACCAATCGGTAAACAACCTCAACGCGTTTTGAATCTCAGAGAACGTTGCTGTTAGCAATCTGCAGCTTTCCAGGTGCTGAGGACCTGCAGGGCACATTGGGAATTGTAGTTCCTCAGCACCCGGAGCGCTGTAAATCAAGCCAACCTTACACTGGCCTTAGTGTAGACTAGAGAGCAGACAATTGGGGTTTTAGGACAAAGCGGACAAGCGAGCCTCTGACAATGTTGTTTTCAGGCTGAATTTCTTTTTTTTCTCCCTCTGACCTCTAAAGATTTTCTTTTCTGTTCTAATGTTTCCGCTCCTCTTGATGAAACGTCTTTGGGAGAGACGAGATTTGCCAACGTTGCTGCAGAGATCTCTATTTTATTTGTAAGAAGAGAAAACACTTATTTTATGGAGTACCACGCTGTAAATTGTAGAGAAATAAAAGAAAGAGAAGAAATCCTTTCTGGCTCCGGAGACTCAGCTTTCTTATGGTTGTGTGAAGCGCTTGCTTTAGATCTATAGGCGGTCATGTGCGGTGCACACTTCTGATTGGTTCCTGGGGTTGCTGCGCATGGTCATTAAGTGAGAATACAATCTCTGATTGGGGTATAAATATTCATCTCATAGTTGTTTGTTCCTCATGTCAATGGGTGTTGTTTTCCTGGGCTTGGACGGGTGTCAGTCGCAGGTCAGCAATATCCCATTGACTTCAATTGAGCAGTACACATTAGGGATTCACCGATACTGGTTTTCCGGTATGGAGTACGAGTACCAGAACTTTGGTTTTGGTACTCGTCGAGTACCGGTGCTTCTGCTGCCATGGAGCTGGCGTCCCAGGCAATCTGAATGCCCGAGAAGCTGGCTCCATGTTGTCTGGCTGGCTAGATTGTGCTTGGCCGGGAAACCGATTTCCCAGACAATCAGCATCGAGACGGCTTCCTGGCCATTCAGGAAGCCAGGCGGTGAGTAATGGCCTGCCTCCCAGCATTCTGATTGGCCGGGAAGCTGGCTCGATGCTGATTGGCTGGGAAGCCGGCATTCCAGCCAATCAGCATGGAGCCGGCTGTTCAGCCACCTCGATGCCGATCAGGAAGCCAGAAGCTGGCTCTTCGGCACTGCCGGTCAGAGGGAAAGTTTCGATATCGGGGAAGGCATCGGAGCATTTGGGCGAGTACGAGTTCTCTGTATCTGCACTGATGCTAAGATCGGTATCGGTGCATCCCTAGTACACATGACAGGTCAGAGGCTGCGTTTGGCCTGCTTTGCATTGTGCTGCGTTTCTTTGGACACTACACTAAAAATACATGGCGACCGCACAATTTATAACTCGCCTTTGTAGCAATGTGCACACGGAAGGGCTCACAACAATGCAAACACAGAAGTCTGGACACTGCGGGTCCTTTAGAGGTGCTCTGGATTGTACGGTCAAATACAGCGCTAAAGTGTGGGTGTTTTGTTTTTTTTTTAGTTCTGGACAGAATGTGCTGGAAATCATTGTCACCGAGACAGGAAGTGATGGGAAATGCAAAATGTTTGAGTTGTCACAAAACAAGAACAGAGGGGAAATCTTTCAATAGCCAATCATGTTCTGGTGACAACTGCCTAAAATTGGCCATAGATGGCTTGATGTGATCTGTGTGCGGCCCCGTGGGCACCACTCCGTTCAACAAACATGATTTTTAATTTCATTGAAGGAGCCGGACAGAAACTTGGACTGAACAATACCTGCAACCAACCAGCTGCAGTCACTGTTCAGGTATTCTGACCCCTGTGTGTGCCGGGTGTCAGAATACAGTAGCCTGACGGGAGATCCTCCATCGGTGATGTGTAGCATGAATGGGGGAATCAAGCGGTTTTCCATGTTCAGCCCATAGCGCTAAACAAAAACAAAAAATGGGGATTTCTTATCACATTGAAGAGAATTCTTCCTGCTGGGACAGGAAATAAAGACGCACTACGAAAGGGAATCCTAACCGGACCGAACTGCATCCTTTCTCCAAAACTAACAGAAGAGAGGTTTCTGATGTTAGGGCTTGTTCACACCGTGGCGGGAGATCTGCACAGGCAGCGCAGTGCGTTTTTGATGCTTTTCGGTGCATTTTTATTTTAGCTTAAAATGTGCTTTCAGGTGCAGTGCTGTGCGTTTTCATGCATTTTGGTGCGTTTCCAGACCAGAATACATTGTGCATACAGCATTGCTTCTCCCTGTGCCGGAAAGGACTGCACTGGTGTGAACAGAGCCCAGAAATACCCTAGGAATGCATTGGGAAGGTCCGGACATGGTGTGAACAAGCCCTGGATACATTGAAGGGAATTTATCCTGGAGCAGCTGTGCATGGTGACCAATCAGCTTCTCTCTTTCATTTTCAAATCTTAACTGAACAAACTGTAGAGAGAAGCTGATTGGCTGCCCTGGGCAACTTCTCCAGATTTTGTCTGCTCCGGTTTTGATAAATATCCCTCATTGTAAGGTACCATACTACCAGTTATGTCCTCTGTAGGTTGCTCCCATTTGTAGTCTCTTGCCTGTGGAAAAATCACTCCACTCGCTTCTCAACGGTCTCCCCCATAAATAATTGCACGTGTACAGCCAGGAGCCGTCCCAACTAAAGTCCCGGGGGCACTAAGCACATTGTACAAGTTATATCCTGTTATAGGAGCTGTAAAGTCCCGGCATCTCCTCTCCTGTTATAACATCAGCAGTGTAATAGGAACACAGACTGGAGGTGTCTCTGATAATACAATCACAGCTTACTTGTAGGAAAATCCCTTTTATGTAATGAGCGCGGCCTTCTGTCTGCCCATCACTTCCACCAACTCGCTGCATTCCCAGGGTGCTTTGCATCTCTCTCATTGATGTGGTGCAATATCCATTTCCTAAGAGTTCATATCCCATCATGCACTGCCTCCAGCAAGCAATGATAATGTTACATTGTTCAGACACTGCGTTGTCGGCTCTGAGAGTGGTGATGGGTCGGTAACTTGCGGCAGCCAGGGACAGAGGCAACAGGTAGAGGAGTAGTCAGGAGACGAGCTGAGCTCACACAGGTACAGAGCAGCAATCGGAAGAGTAGAAAGGCCGGCCGGGGGGGTAACGGAGGGTTCGAAACACGATCAAAATCCCAGGTCGCAGGATACAGCTGACCATCTCTCAGCGATGGAGGTTTGCAGTCCTCGGCCTTAAATAGCCCATTTAGCACCATGATTGCGATGAGCACATGCTTGTGCCCACGCTGCACGACGCACACACAGACGCGCATGGCTGTGCACAATTCTATTAGCCAAACTGTGCATGGGCAATGCTTGCGCTGAACCTCCACATAGTGGGCTGGCTAACCCTTCCCGACAACATCTCAGAAGGCACAACCTACGTTATTTGAATAATGAATCCAGATCAACAAATATACATTCCCCAGCAAAGGATTTCTTTACATTTGATTCCCAAGCACTTCGTTATGTTTCGGAGCCGCTCCACCTCTCCCTGAACTTCCTGTCCAGTACAAGACTACAAGAGACAGATCCGCCTCCAGCAGCCAGCCATCTACTAGCTGGGGGAGCATCTTGTCTGTTTCTGGAGACACAGCTTTACAACATTAGCACCCACAAGGGTGGCTCCAACCACCCTAAAACAGGATATCAGGCCCAGCATCCAGCGGCAGTGACTTATTCAGCATTTGAAATAGTTTAAATACCTCCTGACTTTAATATCTTTACAGGCAGACATAATATCATATAAACGCAGACATAATATCATATAAACGCAGACATAATATATAAAACGCAGACATAATATATAAAACGCAGACATAATTAGTTTAAGTAATTTTATTTTTATACCCTCCCCCCCACTTTCTAGTTTAAAAGCTCC